TTGCAGGCCCCTTTCCACTGCCTGCTCTCCCCTCTCTCCTGCCAGAGAGAAAGAGGGGCTGGCAGGAGCCATAGCCACAGGCATCTAAGGTGAGCACCATGCAGGTGTTCTGTACTGTGGCCTCTGTCGAGAAATACCCTGGTGGGCTGCCAGACGGCCATCTTCCTACCCCCTCTCATCTCCCCAGTGCCTCCAAGAGGAGGACTTGAAGGTGTTTTTTTTCTCTTATTAGTGTTTTTTAGTTACATAAGTGATGGGTTTCATTATGGCATTTGTTCACATATATATATCATTTACTTTATTCCTATTAGCTTTCCTGTCTTCACCTGACCTCTTCTCCTCAAAGGGACTTCTTGGGACTTTCTACTTCAGACTTTCCACCAGGAGAGACAGGGAAGAAGGGCGGCGAGGGGTGGGATTGATTGGGGACACATGTAATCCTGAGCCCTGACCCAAACTGACAGATGTCAGGGTTGCAGTGTGTGCATTGTGGCTAGGGCTTGTTCTTAGACCTGTCTGTTCAGAACTCCCTGGAGACTGAAAAGTGCATGCAGGGACACTCTTCTCCCATGCTTTCCTCTAGTGCCCAGCCTGTGTAGGAGGCGGGTGCGGATACAGACTGGGTAGGGAATGGATGGAAACTGTCAGGCGCGTGTACCTGGCTGGGATGGGGTGATGGGAGAGAGACCGGCTGAGTGGAGGCCTGGAGGAAGGAGGGCTGCAATCACCCGCTCCCTTTGCTTTGTGACCTTTGTGGTTCTTTGTCCCAACAGTTCCTGGAGAGGAGCAGGACACACAGTGGGGGGTGGGAGGGACAGAGCTGTTGACCACTTCCCAACAGAAACCAGGCCTTAAAGTCCTCCAACCCCAGCTGAAAGACGGTGCTCAGAAGGCCATGTCTTGTGTGAGGACCCTCCCCCCACTCCGTCTCAGGGAAGTGAGGGGCCTCTGTGACTGGCACTTAGATGAGGTCTTCTGGTTTTCTTTTTCCCTCAAACATGGTGATGGACTCAGGGGATGCCTCGGAGAAGGTAACCAGGGAGCAGATCAGTTTGCTGTGTAAACTCCCTGGTTAAAGCACCCCATACCCACCCACACCACCTCAAAGAGCTCTCTCTGTTAAGCTCCAGGCAGTGTGTGATGTAGTTTGCAGACTACACCTTCCCAGCTCTCTGAGTAGACTGTTAGCCCCACTTCACAACCGGGGAGCTCATAATTTAGAAGGGGAAAGACGACAGGGGCAAGATGTCCAGAGTTTGACGGCTGGCCTGTGCCCGAAGCTCTGTGATAACATTGCTCTCCACCACCTTCCAGGGCGGGGATGGGGAAACGGTCTCAACTTTCATGGGAAGGAGGTGGGAGGTCCCGGCCAACTACTCTATGTTCATACAATTTTCCTCCCAACCTCTGTCCTCTCTGAAGCCAGGGGCTGGCTTGGAAAGCTTTTTATACACTGTAACAGATGGCATCTCACTTAGGGTGTCCCCTGTTGACCGGGTCTAGCTCCAGCCATGACTACTGTATCTGTCCAGGGACCGGCCCACCTGCTCTGACCCTGCAGCTTTCCTCCTTCTCCATGTCTGGTCCCTCTGAGCGCTGCCAGGCACTGGCCTTTGGGGCAGCAGCTGACATGAAGGGCAGGCTTCCCATGCTCTGGCTGGCAGATTCTTGGCCCTGGGACAGCCTGGGAGTATTCTGACTGCACAGTTCTTCTAACTACTGCAACAGCCAGAGCTGGCTGACATGGGCACACCAATGCTCTTTCGTGTGAATCTCCCTGAGAATGCAGCTGCTTTGTGAGAACCCTTGGACTTTGGACGCTTTACCACATGGTTTTGGCAGATGCAGTATAGGGGATGAACTTTGCTCTTCCAGCTTCTGGGTCAGAGAGTAAAGACTTGGTGGCAACTGATAACTAGACAAAGATACCTGCTGGCTTAATTTGGGGAGGTGGGGGGGCAGGGGACAATGTGCCTTCTGGAAGGCTTCTCTAGTGCCTTTCTGGCTAGTCTTGGCAAAGAATGCTTTAGCTAGGCAGACCAGGTCATGTGGGGCTTTAAGTTCAGCTACTCCAAAGGCTAAGGTAGGAGTATCCTAAATTCAAGATCAGCCTGTTGGCCTGAGACATTGCCTCAAAACTATGAAACAAGCCTAGCATTGGTGGTGCATGCCTGCCTTTAATCCCAGCACTCGGGAGGCAGAGGCAGGTGGACTTCTGTGAGTTCGAGCCCGGCCTGGTCTACAGAGTTCCAGGAGCTGGGACTACACAGAGAAACCCTGTCTTGAGAAAAGACAAAAACAACAAAACCATAAAACAAAGAGAAGGCTGAGGACAGAGCTTGGCAGTACAGACTTCCCTCTCAAATATGAAGTCCTGGGTTCCATCTTGTACTGAAGAAAAAAGAAAAAAGCAAGCAATGAGCAAAGTGCGGGGAAGGAGAGGGAAGGCTGGCTCTAGGCCAGGGGTTGTCAAAATAGTCCATAGGCCAAATGCAGCCTGCTGTTTGTTTCTATCGACAAAAATTTATTGGCACACACTACTTATGTATCATCTAGGCTGTTTTCACACAATCGTAGAGGCCATATGGCCTGCAAATTCTAAAATATTTTCTCTCTGGTCTTTTACATAAACAGTTGACAGACCCTTGCTCTAGCTGGCCAAACATCTAGTATCTTGTTTCTTGAGGTTCACGTTCAGAGAGGTCTTTGCAGTAGGTGGACGAACCAGGTCTAGCTAAGGAGTGCGATGGTGTCTAGGGTGGCTGGGAACCCCTCACTGAGCTCAAGGCCTGCTTAGCTCAAGTGAAGCAAAGCTATTCCCTGACCCTTTCTTCTCTCTTCTCCACACTGTCTGCTTCAGCTCCGCCCCAACATGGCCAACAAGGGCCCATCCTACGGCATGAGCCGTGAAGTGCAGTCCAAAATAGAGAAGAAGTATGATGAGGAGCTGGAGGAGCGACTGGTGGAGTGGATTGTAATGCAGGTTGGCCCTGATGTGGGCCGCCCAGATCGTGGGCGTCTGGGCTTCCAAGTGTGGCTGAAGAATGGCATGGTGAGTGGCACCCTGTGAAGGGGGTCTGGGGAGGTGTGTGCCACCCTGCAAGCTGTGGGGCGGACCCCCTGAGCTGAGTGTCCAGCTGTGTTCTGTGCCTGGCAGATTCTGAGCAAGCTGGTGAACAGCCTGTATCCTGACGGATCCAAGCCAGTGAAGGTGCCTGAGAATCCACCTTCCATGGTCTTCAAACAGATGGAGCAGGTAGCTCAATTCTTGAAGGCAGCTGAGGACTATGGAGTCACCAAGACTGATATGTTCCAGACTGTTGACCTCTTTGAAGGTACAGAGGAAAAGGGCTGGAGCCAGTGGGCCACTGGAGAGCAAGATTCTCAGGCAGGGAGAGGGACTATCAAAAGATGCCACAACCAGCTCTGTTGGTGTGTGCACAGCGGGAACAGGATGTGCCCAGAGCACAGAACAGGCGGATCAGCTCAGTGGTCCAGCATTTTCCTAGTATGCACCATGGCCTGTGCTGGATCCTAGAACCGTACACATATAGAAAATACACCATGCCGCACTCACAAGGGTTTAGTGTAGGGTCTCCTGAAACCTCTTTGGATCTGGGACACTTGCTCTTGGTTTGATCATTTTTGAGTCAGGGGCAGATCTTGCCTATATGGTCCTGAAGCTGGTTCCCTGGCCACTCTTCTCACAGGCAAAGACATGGCAGCAGTGCAGAGGACTCTAATGGCATTGGGCAGCTTGGCTGTGACCAAGAATGACGGACACTACCGTGGAGATCCCAACTGGTTTATGAAGTATGTGGCCATTGGGTCCCTGTTCCCACGCTTGGGTCTCTTTGTGAGGTGGGGATGGCTTCGGCTGGTCAGCCATGGTAAAGATCAGGTGTGGCAGAGCCAGGAAGGCCCCAAGTAAGGCCTTGGGCTGGGGGAAACGGGGCCCCACTTCTGGGCTCATGTCTTTTACCAGCATGTGCTCCAGCAAGCTCCCTAACTCCTGGGATCAACCAAACTCAGGAAAGAGAAGACAAATGGGAAGGGAATGGGCCCAACAAGGAAGCGACAGGGACCAGAAAACAACTGGAGAACACTAATCCTTGGAAGTCTGATCCTGGTTCCTCTTCTTTTAGGAAAGCCCAGGAGCACAAGAGGGAGTTCACAGAGAGTCAACTGCAGGAGGGGAAGCACGTCATTGGCCTTCAGATGGGCAGCAACAGAGGGGCCTCACAGGCTGGCATGACAGGCTATGGACGACCCCGGCAGATCATCAGTTAGAAGGGGAAGCCCTGAGCCTGCCTTTCCCAGATACCTGGCTGCAGTGTCCTGCTTAGCCTGCCTCACCCACGCCTATGTAGGTTCTTAGTCCGGACAGCTCCGAGGCTGTCGCTGGGCAAAGATGACTGCACATGGGCAGCCCCACCTATCCCCAGCCTCAGCCCAGCTTCTAACCCCAGAGCCACCACCCCTGGCCCTGTTCCCAGCTGCACCCCCACCTCTACTGTCTCTCCCATGTCCTGGAGAAGGCAGGGAGAAGTGGGCTGGGTAGCCTGGGGGTCAGCCAGCCCACTGTCCTTGGTAGCAAATGCCCTTTGAAGGAGACCCAGCCCAGCCTCTCCATCATTTCCTGGAATATTTTTTGGGTTGAAATTCAAAAAGGAAAATATATATATATA